AATAAACACATAAAAATGTAAAAATAAGATCGTTTTGGCCGGGCGCAGTGGTTCATGCCTGTAATCCCAGCATTTTGGGAGGTTGAGGCAGGCAGATCATGAGGTCAGGAGTTCAAGATCAGCCTGACCAACATGGTGAAACCCCTTCTCTACTAAAAATAAAAAATTAGCCGGGCGTGGTGGCATGCACCTGTAGTCCCAGCTCCTCAGGATGCTGAGGCAGGAGAATCGCTTGAACCTGAGAGGTGGAGGTTGCAGTGAGCCGAGATCACACCAGTGCACTCCAGCCTGGGCGACAGAGTGAGACTCCATCTCAAAAAAAAAAAAAAATCATTTCAGATCCTGATCAATGCTAAGGAAGAAATGAAATGGAACACTATGGTACAGAAGGATGGAGCTCTGCCTTGGTGAGGGAGGCCTTTGAGGAGGGGTCATCTGAATTGAGATGAGAATGATGAAGAGGAGGAAGCCTTGTGGGGCTCTGGGGGAAGGGCACTCCAGGCAGAGGGAACAGCAAGTACAAAGGTCCTGAGGCAGGAAAGTGCTGGAGTGTTTAAGGAACAGAAAGAAAATCGGTGTGGCTGGAGATTGATGAGCAAAGTAAAGAGTGGGTGATGGGGGTCAAGAAACAGGCAGGGGCCAAGCTACAGGGGGTCCTGTAGCTTCGTGACCACAGAAGGAACACGGGTTTTCTCTTATTTACGATGGGAAGCCAACAAAGACCAGAGTCGTAGCAGCACAGGGAGAAGCGGTCAAGTTCTGAATCGATCCTCGTGGCTGAAACGGGTTGGACAGCAAGTAGAAGCGACTCTGCAGAGGAGTTTTATGGAAGAGAGGAGCAGGAAAACCAGATGGTAATTGGAGGAGGAGGTGGAATTAAGGGATGATTTTTCAGAAGGGTCATATTATAGGCTGCTCATAACCCAATGGAATGACCCAGTGAAGGAGAAACTGATGATGCAGAGGAAAGGACGCCTAATGTGACAAAGTCCTCGAAGGGTGAAGAGGGGACAACTCAGAGCACAGGAGTGGGCTTGGCCTTTGCCCTGGTTCCTATTGCAGCTGTCACAAGAGGCTTAAAGCAGCACACATTTATCTTACTCTTCATCATGCAGCTTCTGTGGGTTCTCCGTTTCCGGCCCTCCTGAGGTAGGAAATCAGCAGCATCTGTTTTCAGAGCACCTGTGAGGACCCCGGTCACCACCCTGCTGATGGCCGCAGGATCTGGTTGAAACAAGGCGTGGTGAAGAAGCTGGCAGAAACCAGAAACCCGCAGATGGAGCGGAAAGCAACCCCTAATTGCCCTCACTGCTCACTAACGTAGACACTCCCACCGGCGCCATGGCAGCTTACAAATGCCATGGCAACATGCCATGGCAGCAACCTGAAAGTTATAGAGTTCTGGAAACTCATCACCCCTTTTCTAGAAAGTTCTAAATACCTGCCCCTTAATTTGCATGTAATGAATAGTGGCTGTCTGCGGCTCTGGGCACACTGCCTGTGGGGGTCCTGCTTACAGGGAGAGCACCTCTGCTGTGCACTGCTGCTTCCGTAAGGCTGCTTTCTGCACCACTGGCTCACCCTTGACTTCTTTCCCGGGCAAAGCCAAGAGCCCTGATTTGGAGGCTCACCTGCCCCACATCACTTACAGGTGGAAATCAGGGTGTTGGCAGGGCTCATTCCTCTCTGGAGGCTCTGGGAGAATCCACTTGCAGGCTCGTCCAGGCTGTTGGCAGATCCAGTTCCTGCATTATCCTGACACTCTTGGACATATGGTATGTATTTACATATGTCCATATGAGTAAAAACCCATGGGGAAGAAAAGACAGTCTTGCCTGACGTTGAGATGGAGGGAAATTTTTCTTCTCTTCTTCCTGTTCATCTGAACATTCTAAGTTCCCACACTGAAAATCATTTATTTATTATTTATGTAGGTTTTTTGTTTCAGGTTGTACATGCTGAAAATAAGGAAATCCCTGAGGCCCAAGAGGAAGGAGGGCTTGGGCCCCACCAGATCTGGTCAAAACACCTGGCCTGGCGGCTGCAGCACCCCCACTCACCCCAGAACCCCTTACCCACCTGCGTGGAGCTCACTGGTGAATGTGTGCAGGGCAGAGAAGGCAGAGCACGCCAGGGCTCTATGGGGAGGGAGGGAAGGCCTAGACAGGCTGAGGCTCCTCTCCAGGGTTCAGGCTCCAGTCAGAGTCCCCACTAAGCACACACCAGGGGACCCCAGGAGGAAGCAGGCCCCAGAGCAGGTGTGACATCAGTGGGGGAACAGCCCCTTCCCCCCGCTTCTCTCAGCCTAGCAGCAGTGGGTGGGGAAAACAGAGCTGGGGCCTGTGGGGTCCAGGCCCGCCTCGTAGCCTCTCAGGGTCTATGAGGGTGAACACCCAACTCCTGCCCCGAGAGCAGAACCAGGTGGCGGGGGAGAGAACAGGAGGCCCCTCTGTGAGCTAGAAAGGACACCCAGGCCTCCCAAGGAAGGCCTGGCCCTGCCTGGCCATGTAGGAGGAGGAAGGCTGGCCTGAGAGGGATGTGGGACCAAAATAAGAACAGGCACACCCCCACCCATAGGGCTGAGGAATATTCCCGAGGGTCCTGCGTGTCAATGAAGTGCGTTTGAAGCTTCTGTCAGCCCTTTGTCCTTAGTTTTTCCTGTCAGGCTCCTGTAACTTCTGTGTTTTTTAAATTATTATTATGATCATTATTTTGAGATGGAGTCTTGCTCTCTTACCCAGTCTGGAATGCAATGGTGTAATCTCCACTCACTGCAACATCTGCCTCCTGGGCTCAAGCAATTCTCCTAACTCGGCTTCCAGAGTAGCTGGGATTATAGGCACCCGCCATTATGCCCAGATAATTCTTGTATTTTTTGTTTTGGTAGAGATGAGGTTTTATCATGCTGGCCAGGCTGGTCTTGAACTCCAGACCTCAGGTGATCCGCCCGCCTCGGCCTCCCAAAGTGCTGGGATTACAGGCATGAGCCACCGTACCTGGCGACCCAGTTTTAAAGAACAAGAGCCAATTGGAGAACATCCTGATTCCCTCCATCTTGGCCACGGTAAAAATCAAGATCCAACGCGGCCTCAGCCAGCGGCAGGGCTGCTCCAGGCCTGTTTTCCTCTCCAGCCTAAGCCCTGCTGAGCACCCCCAGAATGGGGACCCAGGACCCTCTTCTTGGATTTGATGTCCTTGACTGACAGCAGTGGTGACCCAGAGGGATGCCCCACGGGCCCCCTTCCTCTCCCCTCCTCAGTGGCCAGGGAACCCATTTACTGGTGTTGCTAGAACCCTTGCATATGTTCCCAAGCATTGCTATATTCCAGGAGCTCCCGAACTTCAGTCATCCCTAAATTAAGCCTAACAGTAAAATGTCATGCATGCTCCGGTTCTTTATGCATGCTCTACACATGCTCAAATTCCGCCATCTTTTCAAGCCATTGATTTAGTTAATATTTCATGGTAGTAAAATTGTTATGGTTTATTATACATTGTATATATTAATGTTTTAATTATTATTTTTTGAGACAGAGTTTCACTCTGTTGCCCAGGCTGGAGTGCAGGGGCGCAATCTCGGCTCACTGAAACGTCCACCTCCCGGGTTCAAGCAATTCCCTGCCTCAGCTTCCCGAGTAGCTGGGATTACAGGCACCTGCCACCACGCCCGGCTAATTTCAGTATTTTTTTAGTAGACATGAGGTTTCACCATCTTGACCAGGCTGGTCTTGAACTCCTGACCTTAGGTGATCCACCTGCCTCAATCTCCCAAAGTGCTAGGATTACAGGCATGAGCCAGCCTAATGTTTTATTTTTATATTTATGATATTTTACTGTTAGACTTAATTTTGATTAATATTTGGTAGCACTAAAAATACAATTAGGACAGTAATTACACCTGTAATTCCAGCACTTTGGGAGGCCAAAGTGGGAAGATGGCTTCAGCACAGGAGATCAAAACCAACCTGGGAAACATCGTGAAACTCTGTCTCTATTAAAAATATTTTTAAAACCTAGCCAGGTGTGGTGGTGTGCCTGTGGTCCCAGCTACTCAGGAGGCTGAGGTGAGAGTATCGCTTGAGCCCAGGAGGTTGAGGCAGCTGTGAGCAATGGTGCCACTGCACTCCAGGGCAAGAACCTGACTCAAAGAAAGACAATTAAATTTAAAATACATTTTTTTTTTTTTTTTTTTGAGACGGAGTTTCGCTCTTGTTACCCAGGCTGGAGTGCAATGGCGCGATCTCGGCTCACCGCAACCTCCGCCTCCTGGGTTCAGGCAATTCTCCTGCCTCAGCCTCCTGAGTAGCCGGGATTACAGGCACGCACCACCATGCCCAGCTAATGTTTTGTATTTTTAGTAGAGACGGGGTTTCACCATGTTGACCAGGATGGTCTCGATCTCTTGACCTCGTGATCCACCCACCTCGGCCTCCCAAAGTGCTGGGATTACAGGCGTGAGCCACCGCGCCCGGC